AAATGGATTTTTTTATGCTTTTGATTTTAAAGTTGTTATTAGTTTTGGCAAAAAGTTTACTTGTGATGGATCATTAGTAGGCAATTTGTATGAACCAAAGTCTCTCACGACATCACAAACAATTACTTAATTCATTATTTAATCAGATTAAGAGAAAAGAACCTTCAGAACGAAATATTACCTTTGGCATCTAAGGCTTGGTCATATTAACCTAAGGCGGATATAAAAGTTAGGGCAGACGGGCCCTTGGGGTCGGTAGGAGTCAAGGCCTTTCCGACCTGCGGAGTCTTACCTAGAAGGAAAAATGACTAAGAGATCTTTTAAGACCAAGGGGAATAGAGCTAAAGACTTGTTAGAACTCATTCATTCTGGTGTGTGTGGTCCTATGTCACTCCAAGCGAAGGGAAGATTAAAGTACTTCGTTACCTTTATCGATGATTCCTTGCGATACAGGTACATTTACCTATTACGCCACAAGTCTGAATGCTTCGAGAAGTTCTTGGAGTATAAGGCAGTTGCGGAGAAGCAATTAGATAAAAGTATCAAGTCATTACGATAAAATCGTTGTGGCGAATATCTATAGGGGGAGTTTAGAAGTTACTTGTTGGAGAATGGGATACTATTCTAGTTTACTACGCTGGGTACGCCCCAACAGAGCGGCGTGGCAGAACGAAGGAATATGACTCTTATGAAAATGGTTAGGACCAGTGTTCTGAAAACCGGACCGGACCGACCGGTTGAACCGGTTCGACCGAGAACCGGACATGTCAGCGGTCCGGTCAGAGGAGTTAAACCGCTGGATATCAAAACCGGATAAAAACCGCTTGGGCCGTTCAAAAACTGGACAAACTGAAAAATCATAGCCGGTTACACCGGCCCAGCGGCCCTTCAATTCAAACAAAGTTCAGCTCACTTTCATTATATACTCTTCTTTTTCTCGTTAGATTACCGATGTGGGATATCTATTGCCTATTTCCTCATTGTTTTGCTTGCTTTGTGGCCTGGACCATTCAAATAGGCCCACTAAATTTTAAATCCTTGCGCCTTTTTTTTTTGGTATATACTTGAGCAATTGCAAAGTCTTGGGCCCATTTTTTTTTATTTTATTTTATGTCCTTATGCAAAATTTAAAATGCAAATTCTTTTATTAAAAAAAAAGTAAAAATAAAATTAGATACATTATATTATTATTATTATTATTATTATTATTATTATTATTATTATTATTATTATTATTATTATAAATTTACAATTTTACAAAATAAATACAAATCTTACATAATAAGTATAATACTTTAACGTTTTAATTTGATAATATTAAAAATGTATACAATTATATATTTTACATATTAAACTAATGATAAATAATAAATACAATTATTTTTATATATAGAGAAATGTCATTTTACGCTATAATTCTAATGATAAATATATATAATTATATATTATACATATAAAACAAATAAAAAATTATATATCAATTAAAACGGTTCGACCGCTGGTCCGACCAGTGAACCATTGAACCAGTAGCTTCACCGGTTCGATGACCGGCCCAGTTTTCAGAACATTGGTTAGGACAATAATGAGTTACAGTACCTCTCCAGACTCGTTTTTGGGATATTCCCTGTGTTGAGTTTAGTCAACAAAGGCTGCTAACATATTTAATACATTTGGTTGCTGAAGGATTCAGCTTTGGATGCTGCACATGTGAAGCAAATGTCAAATTGTGGCTGCTGAA